CTTCACCTCTGTTGCTGCTGCCAACACTCCTGGCACGGAACCAGGAGGTGGGTGCCCCCTGCCACCTAGGGCAGGTACCCATTTATCTACTCGATTATTTACCTTTCGAACCGCTGGGTTGGCGGAAGCTGGGACGGGGGCCGGGAGCTCACTCCGGCCGCGGTGGGGAATCACAGCCATTGAGGCTGTTCGCTACAGATGTTACAGCAGGCGTTGTATTACCTGCGCCACCGCTCATCTCTTGCTCACCTACATGATCCATCAAATGTACAGAAATATCCAGTGTGGGGGGTCAATATTAGGCCGAGGAAAGGCAGGAGGCGCTGTCGCCTTAATAAAAATGCAAACGGTTAAGAACAACAAAATGCAGAAGACAGGGAGAATTGCTTAGAAGCTGCAGCTGTTTCTGAAGTTTAAGGAAGGCGTTTGAACATCACCAAGAGGACGTCAGTTGTGGCTGGTGCCGTGAACTTTGATTGCTTGGGGTAGGGGTAGTTGTGCCCCCCCCCCTCCCAGAAGGCAGTGGAAGTCCCTCTTGGCTGCCCTGAAAGTCTCGCAAAAGGAAATAAAACAATAGGGCTACTTAGAAGCACTCATGTCCTGATGCGCAGCCAAAAAGTTTGGTGTGAACAAGGTCTCGATTAGCTGGATGAATTGCTGCTCACAGGGGAAAAAAGGTACCTTTCCTCTCTGAGCTGTACGTCCGGGTGCCAAGGCCTTGCGAAGTACGTCCGTGAATCTCTCCCCCTCTGTCCCAGATCCAATTAGGTGCTTCCTGTTTGAGCTTCCCCTTGCGTTGCCAACTTTGCTAACAATCTCCGTGCCGTAAACGTAAGGTTTTTCTGTACCTGTTTTTTCCCCCTTGAAATCGTGCCTCGGGCGCCCATCTCCCCAAGACCGTGTGTGTGCGACATCCTCATTGGGCAGTTGATCTGGCAGGAAGTGAGAGGCCACTTGAAGGAAGGGGAGACATCCTCTGTGGGCCACGTTTCCCCCGCAAGCGTGTGCGGTTGGACAATTGGCAACGTCGGACGAATCTTAAGTATCTTCGGGACGGTTGGCTCCTGAACACGTCCTGATGATTGGGCTCCCCTGCCCCCTCAGCCTCCCCCCCAGACAAAAAGAACCCAGAACTGTGAATGTGTTTCGTTCAGTTCAGGTATCCGTAGGAATCCACATGGCTTGGTTGACTTCCTTTATATCCCACCACCTGTGATGGTGATCCATAGCAGCAGCTTATGTTGTTCTCCTCCCCTGCCTTTTGACTGGCCCAAGGTCCCCCAGCGAGCTTCCATGGCAGGGTGGGGATTTGAACCTGGGTCTCCCGGATCCTTGTCTGACACCCTGACCCCTACAACACACTTGGCTGCCTTCAAGCAGGATGGGGTAGTAGAATCCTGGACTGTACCTTCTAAGATTGCAGGGGGTGGGAAGCAGTCCCGTTTTTGAATGTGTCTCTCTGTTAGCTTTCTGCATTTATGCGTTTTACCTGTCAGTCTAACACACTTGTTACCCTGCTCTTGCTCTAAGGAGTTCTGGGCGGTGTAAAGGTAAAGGTTTCCCTTGCTCGAAAGCCAGTCGAGTCCGACTCTAGGGATGCGGTGCTCATCTCCGTTTCCAAGCCGAAGAGCCGGCGCAGTCCAAAGACATTTCCGTGGTCATGTGGCCGGCATGACTAAACACCAAGGCGCACGGAACGCTGTTACCTTCCCACCAAAGTGGTACCTATTTATCTACTTGCAATTTCTTGCTTTCGAACTGCTAGGTTGGCAGGAGCTGGAACTAGAGATGGGAGCTCACTCCGTCATGCGGCACCCGGGTCTCGACCTTCCACAGCCTGCAGTTCAGCGTCTTAACCACTTGAGCCACCACAGCCCTTTCAGCCATGTATCTAAAGAATTTCTAGCACTGGAGTCTTTTAGGTTCTATTCCTAATTAGGCTGTCTACATTTATTTGACTACATTTATTCTGGATACAGCCCTTGTTTGGGGTGTGTGTGGGGGGATTGGTGGCCCGTGCAGCATCAGTGCTTGCAAGCAGCCATTATTTCGACTTCAAGCTTTCCTGGATGGAGGTGGATTGTTTGGCTCCTTTCCAGTCTTGTTTTAGGCCTGTTTATGTGACTGGAGCTGCGGTGGCTCAAGTGGTTAAGACGCTGAACTGCAGGCTGTGGAAGGTCGGTAGTTCAGCAGTTCGAGACCCGAGTGTGCCGCATGACGGAGTGACCCCAGCTCCTGCCAACCTAGCAGTTCGAAAGCAAGAAATTGCAAGTAGATAAATAGGTACCACTTCGGTGGGAAGGTAACAGCGTTCCGCGCGCCTTGGTGTTTAGTCATGCTGGCCACATGACCACGGAAACGTCTTCGGACAGCGCTGGCTCTTCGGCTTTGAAACGGAGATGAGCACCGCAACCCTAGAGTCGGATTCGACTGGCTTTCGAGCAAGGGAACCTTTACCTTTACTTATCACTAATATGCAGTGATACTCATAGGCGTAATCTTCGTGGGGGCGTCGGGGCGTCAGCCCCCGCC